AAAGTTTTTTATTTTATTTCAAAAAAAATGGAAAATTAATATATTTAAATAAAAAAGAAAGAAATTTAATTCTAATTTCTTAAAGGAAACAATTTAATTCCTTTTTTATTACAGAGGCAAAATTAATTCTAATTTTTTATAGGAAAAAATTTAATTCCCATTTTTTATAGAAACAAAATTAATTCTAATGTTTTATAGAATCAAAATGAATTACAATTTTTTTATAGAAACAAAAAGAAATCTAATTTTTATTGGAAATAATTTAACTCCCATTTTTATAGACACAAAATTAATTCTAATTTTTTATAGAAACAAAATTAATTCTTATTTTTTATAGAAACAATATGGAATCTAGTTTTTGTAGGAAAAAATTTGATTCCAAATTTATTATAGGAAAGATTTAACTTCAATTTCGTTATAGAAAAAATTTTAATTCTAATTCTGTTATCAGAAAAAATTTTTTAACGGAATAAATTATATTCAATTTTGTTATAGAAATAAATTAATTCCCATTTTTTATAGGAAATAAATTAATTCCTATTTTTCATAAGAATAAGAAAAATTGAGTTCCAATTATACTATAGAAAATAAATTAATTCTCATTTGTATAGAAAAAAATTTAAATCCCTGTTTTGATGGGAAAAAATTCTATTCTAATTTTCTTTCAAAGAAAAAAATAACTACAATTTATTACAGGATAAAAATTAATTCCCATTTTTATAGGGAAAAAGTTAATTCCAATTTTTTATAGGGAAAAATTTAATTTCAATTTTATTATAGACACAATTTAATTTCATTTTTTTGTTGGAAAAAATTTAATTCCAATTTTATTGTAGAAAAAGGTTTAATTCCAATTTGTTATAAGAAAAAATTATTTTCCAATTTTATTATAGAGAAAAATTAATTCTCATTTCTATAGAAAAAGTGTTAAATCCAATAATTCCCATTTTTAATAGGATAAAAATTAATTCCCATTTTTATAGGGAAAAAGCTAATTCCATTTTTTAAAGAAAAAAATTTAATTCCAATTTTTTTTATAGACAGAATTTAATTTAAGTTTTTTGTTGAAAAAAATTTAATTCCAATTTTATTGTGGAAAAAATATTGAAACCCAGTTTTTGTAGGAAAAAATTCAATTCTAATTTTCTTTCATAGAAAAATAAATTTTTGTAAAAAAAAAAAAAATAATTCCCATTTTTAACAGGATAAAAATTAATTCCCATTTTAATAGGGAAAAAGTTAATTCCAATTTTATTATAGACAAAATTAAATTTCATTTTTGTGTTGGACAAAATTTAATTCCCATTCCTTATAAGAACAAATTGATTTCTATTTTATTATAGAAAATAATTTAATTCTCAAATTTATAGAAAAAAATTAAATCCCTGTTTTTATAGGAAAAAATTCAATTCTAATTTTCTTTCATAGAAAAATGAAATAACTCTAATTTTTTTCATAGAAAAATAAATTAGAAAAAAATTATTCCCATTTTTGGTAGAAAAAATAATTCCCATTTTTTGTAGAATAAAATAATTCCCATTTTTTGTATAATAAAATAATTCTCATTTTTTGTAGAGAAAAATAATTTGTAGAGGATAAAAAATTATTCCCATTTTTAACAGGATAAAAATTGATTTCCATTTTATACAGTATAAAAAATAATTCCCATTTGGTATAGAAAAAAATTTAGTTAAATTTTTATTATAGACAAAATTCAATTTCATTTATTATTGGGAAAATTTGAATTCCAATATCTTTTATAGGGAAAAATTGATTTAAATTTTATTTAAAAAAAATTTAATTCCAATTTTTTATAAAAAAATGAACTCCAATTTTTTATAAAAATAATAAATTTCAATTTTTTATAGAAGAAAAATTAATTTTAATTTTCTTTATAGAAAAAATTTAACATCAAAAATGTGTTCTTTTCTTTTTGAAAATTAAAAATTTTATTTGATTAAAATATAGTAGAATTAATAAATAAAGTCTCGAAAATTTAAATTAGAGTGAAAAGCCAAATATATATATCAAGTATTTGGTACTTTTAGATCACTTGCACCCTTCTTGCGATAAGAAAAGCCTCTCTGGCCGCCCTCAACTGCTTAGAACAAATCCGTTTGGCACTCAATGTGTTAAGTTTTCAAACAACAAAAATAATATTTAATACGTATTTTTCAGTTTAAATTTATTATAGTGAAAATCTTCTATATTATTCAAGACGTTAATGGATGTATTTATGTATGTATATATGTATGTATGTAGTGTGTTTTTCGCAATGTAAAAATATAAACAATAATATGCTAACTACAAGTTCAAATTAAAAACACTTATGTATACGACAGCGAATATTCAAATATGTTTAAAATAAAATTGATTTATTTTTATATGAGAAATACGAAAAACGTACAAATGTATAAATGCCATATTTAAGCAAACGAAAAAAAAATGAAAAAGTTTATTGAATAAATTAAGAAAAATATTAAAAATGAAATTGACATTTTTATGTAAAATGTTAGTCGTTTATATGTATATATGTAAATGCATAGAGGGCCTCAGGCGTATTAGTTGTAAAAAATGCGTAGAGGTCATAGGAATAAAAGAAATTAATTTTTTATTCATTTTTATTAAGCTGAAGGCAGATTACAAATTGAAATAAAATTTTTCTTTTAACTGAAGATATTATTTTATTGTATTATTTTTGGTAGTAAAAAATATTGAATTAAATTTAATTTTTCAACTCAAAACAAAAAAGTAATAGAAATAATTTTTTTTGTATTAAAACAAATTTAATTGACAAAAAAATCTACATTTTGTAATTAATCGCTTTTTTTTTTGGAAAACTCAAAAATATTATTTAAAATTGTATTTTGGTATTAAATAAATTTAAAAAGGTATTTAAAGGTGTTTTGAAACTTAGTTTGCATGGAATTGGATATTTAAATTTTTTTCTTTTTTGGAATTGAAAGCAATATTTTGAAATTAAAAATAAATTTTTGAGTTTTAAAAAAAAATTTAATTTAAATATAATAATAACATAATGAAATAAATTTTACTTGCTATTAAAAACAAAAAATTTGGGGAATTAAAGAATTTTAACTTAAAAATAAATATTATATTAAATATTTTTTCGAATCAAAAAAAAACTTTTATTAAATTAGGAAATCAAAAACGTGTTGCAAAGAAAAAAGCATTTTTGAGGCCAAAAAGTTTTTGCTATAAAGAAATGAAATATTTTTGAAATTAAACCAAAACCGTAATTAAAAAAATGTTTAATTAAAATAAATTGAAATAAGAAATGTTTTATAATAAAAAACTCTTTTTGTGAAAAAGAATATTATGAAATATTTTTCGGAATTAAAAAAGTCTGAAATTAATTTTGGAATTTTACCAATAATATAATAATTTTGAATCTAAAAAAAAGTAATTAATAATTTAATAATAATTAATCGTATTTTTTTTTAATTAAAAAATCATTTTGTAGGACTATAAAATAATATTACTAAAAGTTAAATATTTTTAGAATAAAAAATGTTTTTGAGATTAAAGAATTAAATAATAAAAATTTTGTGTTTCATTTTTAAATTTAAATTCAAGAAATATATTATAATTTTTTTTTTTGAATTAAAAGTACTGAAGTTTAAAAAAAATAAATTAAAGAAGTTGAATTGAAATAAATTTCCGTTGAAAAATGTTTTGATTAATTTTTTTTGTTCAAAATAGAAAAATTGCTTAAAGGAAATGGTTGTTGGAATCAAAATGATTTGAATTAAAAACCAAAAAAATTTGAAATCTTAAAAGATTTATTTAAAATAAAAATTTTATTTGAAGTAGTATACACTTGAACTTAAAAAAATAATATAAAAACTAAAATTAAAACAAAAAAAATTAATTAATTAAAAAAAATTAGAACGGAAAAAAATATTTGAAAATAAAAAGGATAAAATAAGAATGAAAAGTATTATTAAGAAGTAGAAAGAGAGATTGAAATAAGAAAAATTGTAATTAAAGATTCGAAAATTGTCAATTAAAAAAAAAATATTAATTAAATAAATAAATTTTAAGATTTAAAAAAAATCTGCCTTCAGCTCAGTATGAAAAAATAAATATTTAAATAAATAAAAATACCCTAAATTATTAGAATATGACATTAATCTTCTCATATATGTATATATATTCTTTTTGATGTTACAACAAATTACATTATCTACATTTATGTATATTATTGTATTAGTAATTATTTACAAACAGAGAACACTTCATAGAACACCCAGATAGTTAATGTATTACATTACAGTTACATATTCAAAGAGGCAGCCTTATTAAATACATCTTTAATAACATTTTAAATTTTAATACAAGCATTTGAATTTTTATATATTTTTTTTTTTTAGAAAGTTCATATATAGTGCCAAGTTGGTTTAAATAAAAGAAAAACAGAAAGTCAAAGATAAAGAAGGACAATAAAATTTCTACTTTGGCCTTTATTTCCTTTCATTTAAAAATGGGCTGAACTTTGTGGAATTTATAAAAAAAATTATTAGTTTAATATTAATGAAAGAATTTTATGCAGAAATCTAACAATAGGAAGCTTCTTTCAGCTGGCGTAGCCCATTAAGATCTAAAGCCACTGATCATTGCTAATAAATTGTAATTTTTTTTTACAAAAAAGGGAGTAAATTGGGCCAAAAAAAATATATTTTTGAATGAGATGAGCTCGTTTTTGAGTTAAAGACATATGTATGTATATATTCCTATACACTATTATTCAAATGTCCATAAATTGTTCTGAAGTTATAAATATATTTTTTATAAGCAAAACAATACAATACAATATTCAACGGTACGCAGATTGGTATATTTGTATGTATGTTAACGATAAACATTTTTTTTTTTTGAGTTCTAAAAAAAAATTTTCAATATTAAAAATATCAAGTTGTAAATAGTATAGGTAATAAAGTGGGAATACATTGAGAATGTACAACACAAAATAAAGTATTTACCACCTCGCCCTCAGCTCTTTTTCTTTCAAACTCCTTTTGTTTTTCATATTCAATAGCAATGCGTTTTTCAATTTGAATCAATGATTCGCGGGTAAAGGGACGGAACAAGCTACGTTCTTCCTCAGATATCGAGTCGGAATCTTCTGTCATTGTCTAAACGGCCAGCGATAAGAGCCTCAGATTTCCAAGGCCTGTTAAATTATGCATATTACATTTTATTAGTATTCAAAAATGTATTGTATATATGTAAATATACAGAGATTAATATGTAAATATATATGTGATATGTAGTTATGTGTTTGATGTTCTTACATGAGGCACATGGATCTCGCGGTTTAGCTTTAGACTACAGCTATATCCGAGGCGCCATTTCCAAGAAGCACCCTCCGCTAGTACAAATCTGTAAGTAATTAAAAAACAAAAAAGATTTAAATAATATTTTACAAAATAGTTTAAAATATTTCAAAATTAAATAATGACAGTGAAATTGAATTTAAAGTTTTCTAAAAACAGAAAACTGTATTATTTTGGACGCAAACCACAAAAGAATATTAGGTCGATTATTAAGAAATAAGGGAGGCAATAATAAAAATAAGCGAGTTGGGAAAAATTCTTTTTTTCTCACAGAATTTCAACGTACGTTAAATTATTCGTTAATATATTTTTTTTTAGAAGAAAATGATTTTTAATATAATTGTGCTTAAATTAAAAGTGAAACAAAAAAGTATTAAATTTTATATTTAGTAACTTTTAATATTATTTTTTATTAATCTTATTAAAGGAAATTTTATATCTTACAATAAATATAAATAAATAAATATATTAAAAGTCTTAATGCGCTTAAATTAAAATATATTAATTATGATGTTTTCTATTTATTAATTACTTAATATTATATTAATTACTAATTTTTAATATTATTAATTTTATTTTTAGTTATTTTTATTAATTTTAATGTTAAAGTTTTATTTTTTTATTAAGACCACTTTTTTATATTTCAATGCGCTTAAATTTAGAAGAGAAAAGTAATATTAATCAAAGTATTTTTATATATAATAATTATTACTATTGTTTTTAATTTATTTTATTAATACCATTAATTAATATATAAAATTAAATTAAAAAGGAAAAAATAATAATAAAAAATAATAATTATTATTATTTTTAACTTTTATTAAAATTTTTCTATTTTTTTTTTTATTAATAGTATTTTTTAATATTTCAATGCGCTTAAATAATATTAATTAATTATTATGTTTATTTGATAATTATGAATTTTCTCTTTGATAAATTTAATCAATACAATGTTTTAAACTCTTTTAAGCGCTTAAATTAAAAAAGGAGAACAAATTAATTAATAATTATTAATTGATTTTAATTTTTTAATTAATTTTATAATATCATTTTTTAATTTTCTAAAACGTTTATATTATTTATTGTTAATAAATGAAAAATAATATTAATATTGAAATATTTTTAGGTTTTTAGTTTTATGAAACTGTCTCAGACCCTTTATTTTTGGGCAATAATAATAATTACTAATATTATTTTTTAATAATTTCATTATAACTTTTTTTAAATCTGAATACGTTTAAATTAAAAGGGAAAATAATTTTAATTATTTTATTTTTAAATTCAATAATTGTTAATTTTATTTTGAATTAATTTCATATAAATCTAATTAATATAATATTTAGTAATTACTGTACTATTAATAAATTGTGAATAAAAAAATCGTTATTTTATAACTAGTAAAAATAAACTATTATAAATGAAATATTTTTTTCCTTCTGCTAACATATTCAAAAATCATTTAAAATTATATATAAAATAATTAAACGTTTAACATAACCCACATTTCACTGAGTGTGTTAAAGATATATTGAGCGCTGTTCACATAGGCACTAAATTACTTAATTGAGAGATTTTTGACAATTATTTCGGAATTGTGATCAAATTACATTTTTAAAAGCCCCGATATAAAAAAGCTAACTAAAACTTTATAATGTTTTTATAATTATTATTATAACAGTTTCGTTGTCAAACAGTATATCTAAGAACCAGCATCAACACCAGTAATAATGTCAGCCTTGAAATCCTACGCAGAACAACTCTTGCTAACAGGTGCTTCTTTGAACTGAGTAGGCCTTTCTCGGCGAACTATCTAAAACTAAACTCTACAAAGTCAACCCAGTTTTGAAGCGGATGATGCTGAGAAATATATCACTTACAAAAAATATAAATAAAAATGGTCTAAGGGTTTCGAGCTGGCATAAAAGGTCCGTCAACGACAAATGCCAGGAATTTTTCGTTTGTATGTTGTTTGGTGCAGCTGGCAAGTAATCATCCACTGTGAACTGCCCCCTACGGCCATACTCTGAATTTCGACTTGACTTGTTCTGTCAGCAATTGAACATCTTGAAACAAAAGGCAGTAGGAAAATTGTGTTTCGTTAGGACAAGGACAGACCACACACATCGATATTGACCCGCCAGAAGCTCCGAAAGCTTGGATGGGAGATTTTTATGCATCCAACTTATAGTCCGCAAAAGGGAACAAGGATTGCTATGAGAGAGGCATAGTGACACCACCCAGAGAGTTCTCTGACCACCTTCAAAATGGCAAAAAGGGTTCGAGGAAAACCATGCTAATTTGACACTAATGAGATAATTCTAGTTATGGCAAATAAAGCCTTCAATTTAAGGCAAAAATAATGGTTTACTTCTGATACTATAATTTTTTAATTACATTTTTAGAATTTTTTTTATAAATTTTTTAAAATAATTATAGTAAGATATCAATTATATTTGGCACAAAAATTAAACAAATTAAAAAGTTTCGCAAAGTTTTGTTTTATTTCTTGTTAATAAAATCTCATTTTTAGTTTTTATTCTTACCAATATTTCCAATTAATTAGAGTAAATAAAAATTATAATTTAATTATGGTAATAAAATAAAAATAACTTACAACAAAAATAGACTAATTAAAATTTTTTGTGCTTTTATTTATAATTTTTTATGTTTAGAATTTTACTAAATTAATAAGAACTTTATTAAAAACTTTTTTTTAACAATTTTATTGTTAAAAAAAATAAACTAAATAATTTTAGCACAAAGAACTTAATTTAAGACTTTTTTTAACAATTTTATTATTAAAAAAAATAAACTAATAATTTTAGCACAAAAAAACATTTTTTGGCATTTTTATTTTCTGTTTATTTTTTATTGCATATTTTTATGTTTTTTTTATCTAAAAGGTTGGAAAAATAAATATTTAAAAATAAAAGTATTGATGGAGCTTGTTGATTCTTTCTTTTCATGCATAATTATTGCTTTTCACTATATTTTTTTCCAGAAGCCTTGTCTTCTTGTAGAAAATGTATTACGAAGGTATAGAACAAAGAACTGTCAAAAGTTACTGTTCGTTCAAGTTTTGTTATCACTTTTGTTTTCATCGTAATTTTCTTTCTCTAGCTCTCTCTCTCTCTCTCTCACTCTCTCTTTGACTTACTCAGTTCATGAGATGACGCAAACTTAACGAAACTCATTTGATTGTCTACTCGCTGGTTGTTGAAAGTGAGATTGAGAGTTATAGAGAGAGAAAGAAAGAAATAGAGAGAGAGAGAGAGAGAGAGAGTGAGAGAGTTAAAATTGCAATTACGTGGAGTATGTATTTATATGTATGTTTATATAAACACAAAGGAGAAACTTCCAATGGAACTTATATATACATACATACATACATACACACAAACAATTTAATTAATTTAATTTGTTTTAATTTATTTAAATTATTACCAAATATTATTTTAAGACATTAAATATATATATATGTACATTGTACAAACATGCTTACATACCGCTGATTTTAGCAAAAACAAATCACTTGTGATTGCAATCACTCGTCACAGGAAATCCTTCAATAAGCGTCTATTGTGCTGTACAAAATTGAACTGTATTTGTTGGTTGGTATGGTACTGTGTGCTGTGATGTGATGTGAGCCAGCAAATAACGGTAATATTTGTATTTTTTTTTTATTATTATTTATGTTTATATATACATATATTATGCGTAACGTTTATACTATATATAACGCCTTGCGTAGAGAAATTATTAACACTTATTTATTATGTACATATGTATGTATGTATATATATTATAGAAAAAATGGTGCTTAGAAGATTTTCTTTTTTTGTTTTTTGATTAACTGCTATTTTTTTAAAATTGTGTTATTCAACCAGCATTTTATTGTAATAATGTGTAAGAATTTTGAAGCCAATTTTTATATTTTTATATTTTTAATTAATATTTTTTTTAGATTTTTTTTTCAACTTTTTTTTAATTTTTTTTTAATTATAATTTTTTAATTTCTTTTGAACGTGATCAAGTGGCGAACCGCTAAATACCGTTAGCGTTGTTAAACTCATTCAACTGCTTCTCAAAATATTGTTGCTGCTGTTGCTACTGCTGTTACGAACGCATGCAAATCCCACCTTACTTTGTGAAATCACTAGCTCATTTTCACTTTCACGTATGTTTTAAAATGGGCACACACTATATATATGTTTTACTTCAAAATATTTTCATTTCTGCATTATTTTTGAAATTCTATGTAATAAATTTTTTTTTAATTTTTTTTATAAATTTTTTTTTTATTAAATACTATTTTTAAATATATATAAATTTTTTTTTATTATTAGCAAATTTTATTATTGCAGCACTTTTCAAGTACATACAGATGTATGTATATATTTTAATTTATTTTTAAGTAAATGATTGAACACGATAAATCATTCACTATTTTTTGTCTGGTTTTATTTCATATATACATTAGTATGCATGTTTGTATATGTTATACATGTACTTAATTTGTTTTCTTCCTTTTCGCTGTTTCGCGCTGTTCTTTACACACTTTCCAGTATTCCTTCCAACATGTAATGACAAAAAATATTCCAATTTAACACACACACACTCATATATATATATATATGCACACACACTTTCGCAGCAATTCACAATTTATAAGTTTTACGATTAATTCCTCAAAGCTAGGGCACCTGACCAGCTGTTCACTAAACCCTACTAACACCCTTGAGTCACGCGCAGAGTGTCTTTAGCGGTGGAGGTGGAACAGTTATGTTGCTGTTGAATTGTACAATAGCGCAAATTATATATTTTATATATATACATATAAATGCAATTACATAAGCAGCTTGTCACACATGCGTATTTATTTATATGCATATTTATTTTTGTTATAAATTTTAATAAAAATATATATTAATTTAGAGCGAAAAAAATATTATGTTTGTTGTTTTTTTTTTAATTTTTGTATTTATTTTTTATCGAAACTGTCGACGATTTTTTGTTTATTTTAAAAACAAAACAAGAATATTTTTTGTATTGATTTTATTTATTTTTTATTTGCTTAATTCTTCAACTTTCTCATTTTTCTTTTATACTCAATATATCTAGTATTAAGGCGAAGTAAATACGTAATCCTCGCGTTGATGCCTCCATTTCTTGTTTTTATATTTCATAAAAAAAGCGTTAGCGTATAAAAAAAAAACAAAAACGTTATAATAAGCGCACTGACCCCTTTCAAATTAATTGTATTTCAGACTGAAAATGGCCGCAAATAAATAATTTATAAATAAAATTAAAAAAAAAATAAAAATAAAAATTTATGAATAATTTTATTTATTTATTTGTCTTTTGAACGCATATGTAATTTGTCGCTCTTAATTTTTTAAAAATAAAAATAAAAAATAGAATTAAATTATAATTATATATAAATAAAATTAAAAACAAAAATAAAAAACACAAAAAAATATTAAATTTAGTATAAGTAAAATAAAAAACAAAGCCAATTATTTTCTTTATTATTATTATTTTTTAGAATATTGATGAAATAAATAATATAATTTATTATGTTCATATAATGTATAAAATTTATTTATATAATTTAAAAAAACTTTAAAAAATTATACTTTTTCACTTTTAAATCACTTACAATTTATAAAAATTAAAAACACAAAATGACTATGCAAAAAAATATGATACGACAAAATATAGCAATAAATTGTATTTTTATTTATATTTTTTATTTATATTTTTTATTTATTTTTATTTTTTATTCATTTATATTTATATCTTTTATTTTTTTTCACAAATTTTCAAGATGAAAGCAAAATAATTTAATAATTTTAGTCATTGGTTTACTCCTTATTGTTACTTTTTTATATTGATTTGTTAATATATAAGGTCAAGTAAAAAGTTCGTTCGGTTTTTATCTAAGAGATGGCGTTATTGTTCATAGTACTAGTGTTACGTGTCGCATCATTTCTATGTGTATATGTGTACATAATGGGCGTTTTGTAACCGCAGAAGCGATTTTCGATATATATATATATATATATATATATATATATATATATAAATAAGTAATTTAAAACTTTTTTTTATTTAGTATTTCAAATACTAATTTATTATTTACTTCATTGTTAAATGTTTAATAATGTTTTTTATTTATTTACTATTTAAATATTTATTTATTCCAAATTAATCTCCTTTTGTTATTAGTTTTATAATTTTATATATATTTATTTAGGTTTTCTTTTTTTTTTTTGTGTAATTATTTACTTTTTATTTATTTTTTTCGTAATATTATTATTTTCATTTTTTTACTTATATTTTTTTTTTCATTTATTTATTTTTATTTTTTTTCTACTTATTTATGTTTTATTTTAACTAATTTATGTTTCATATTTTTTTTAAATTCATTTACTTAGTATACTCGTATATATGTACTTAAATTAAATTTATTTAAATATATATTTTCAATTATTAATTTTTGTTAAGCGATCAGTTCAAGTAATTTCGATATTTTATAAATTAATTAAGCTTAGCTGATCTGGTTTGGATAGTGCGAATAAAACTAATTTATTCCACTTCTTGCCCAAGGTTTCGTTAAATATTTTAGCATCTTCAGGGGCTCAAATATCAAAAAGTTTGAAATTATTTAAAATACAGTATTTGACAATACAAAAAAAATTATTACATAATGTAAGGTAACTAAATTTTTTTAAATTGAATTTGTTTATTTGCAAGATTTATTTATTTATTTTTATTTATTTATTTTTATTTATTTGTTTTTATTTATTTATTTTTATTTATTTATTTTTATTTATTTATTTATTTTTATTTATTTATTTATTTATTTATTTACTCATAAATGTTTTTTATTTTTCGCTTATTCATTCTTATTTTTATTTATTTTCTGGTTTTTTATTGTATTTTTTACATATTTCTTTAATTTAAACATTATTTTTTAATTTATAAATATTTAAATGCATTTAAATAAATATATTTCAATATCTACTTTTATTTTTTTTTTGTATTTTTTTTATTTTATGAAATATTAATTATTTATTTTTAATTTATTTATTTAGTTATTAAGATATTTATGTATTTATGTATTTATTATTAGTTTTTTATTTTTTTTTATTATTTAACGCATTATAATAAATATGTTTTGCCGTTATTTTTGATTGTGCTATATTTTATTTCCTAATTCATTTTTTCTATAGTTTTTACTTATTTTATCATAATTTTTGTATTCATTTATCTATATATTTTTAAAATTATCCATTTGATTGTTATTTGTTTGTGTATTCAATTAAAATTTTATTTATTTATAAATTTTTTTTTTATTTATTAAATCAATTTTTAATCTTTTATTTATATTTTATATTTTATAAAAATTTAATAATTTCTGTCTCATTTATTGTTGATTTAATTATTATTTGCTTTGCTTCTTCTTTCATTGTTTTTTTCTTATTATTTTATTTATTGATTTATTTATTATTTGTCTTTTGTTTATTTATGCAGCTTCAAAAATTGTTTATTTATTATTAAATTCATCTAGTTATTTATTTATTTATTTTTTGTTTCTTCTTTCATTGGTTTTTTTTTATTATTTTATTTATTGATTTGTTTACTATTTGATTTGTGTTTATTTATTCAGTTTCAAAAATCGTTTATATAATATTAAATTTGTCAAGTTATTTTTTAGTTATTTATTTTATGTATCTTCGTTTATTGATTTTCTTATTATTTGCTTTTTATTTATTTATTAAATTAATTTACAAAGCTATTTATTTTTGAATTTATTCATTTGCCCATTAATTTTAATTTTTAATTTATTTTTGTTTGTGTATTTTTCTAGTTAATTATTCTTATAACTCTGTTTCTTTTTTAATTAGTAATTTATTTATTTGTTTATATTCATTTATTTCTATTTTATTTTTATATTTTTAATATATATTATTATTTTTAAATAATTAATTTGTAACTTGTATTTGTTCTCCATCTGTCTTTATTTTTTATAGATTTTTATGCAATTAAATATTATTTTTAATTACTTTTCAATTATAACAAAAAAGGTTGATTTCATTTCTTTTGTTTATATAAACAAAATGAATTTTTCGCTTAATGTAAATTGTAAAAAATGCATAGTAAATCTTGACATTACTACAACATTTAGTTGCATAAAATTTATAGCCTTTACCACAGTAACTGAAATATTCAATAGGATTGGCTAATATTGATTTTTTTGTTGTTGTTTGTTCAAGTCGCCTTAAACACGCCTTTTGTGAAGGCAACGCATGGTGGAGTTAACTAACAAAGTGTAAATATAAATACAACGTCACACATTCGTTTCGGAAAAGTACAAAAAATAAAAAAAAACTAACAACAACACCAAAAGTGCATTTCCAACACCAATAACAAAATTACGGCAGTTGACTGCAAGTGGTTTATTTTAAAACCCGTTATTTAGTATACTCAACTTTGTACGTTTATTTTATACGTTTTATAAAAAAAAAACAGTTGAATTTTGCTTGCAATTTTCAATAATATTTAAATTATTAACTTCTTTTTTTCCGAACACAGCAACGTAGAGCAGCAACTTTCAACCAACCATCCGCCTCAGCGGTAGCAACAGCAGTGCCAGTGGTGGCAATAGCTATGCAGGCACGACAGCAACGCGACACCAACAATGACAGGACGAATTAGTTGGAAAAAAACAACAACAACAACAACAACAATAACAGTTGCGACAACAACTGCAACACCAGTAGCGTACG